CCGAAAAAAAGCAGATTTTCATTTAATCTCGGAACAAAGTATTGGACTCTATCCATATGGAATCCAAGGAGAAATACTTGGATTTTCTACCCTCCGCCATTTGTTCAGAAGTTTGCTTTGCCTCTGATGGAGAGGAAAATGAATGCCAACTGTGTGCAGAAGGCTTTAGGGATATTTTTCCTCCAATAGTTTGAAGTAATCCCTATGTAAATTGTACGCTTTACTGAAGGTATAGAATGAGGCAATGCCCCCGCAGTGGAGTTGTGGGTAATCCTCAGCCTCATTGTCTTCAGCTTACTGTCGATTTTTATGTCTGGCAGTGGTATTAGCTCTTATGCTCAACATTTTCATTTGCCTCTTTTTTCTCTTTTGTGGAAGTTTTTTTTTAGTCCAAACGCTGTGGTAGTTTTATTTAAAAACAGCAGACCTAAATGTGATTGCGGACACACAAAAATCTTGTGTGCGTTTATATGTATCTCTTCCACTCATGCAGACAGAACGAGTGGTATTTCTGTACAAACGTAGATGAAACTTTTTATGGTTATCTTTAGATTTTTTTCCTTTTATGATTAAACAATTGCCTGAAAAAAACAAAAAAACAAAAAAAAAAAAAACAAGAGCATCTTTATATCTTTTGACTTTAGTAAAATGTGAATCCAATTAACAATATAATAATAATAATAATAATAATAATAATAATAATAATAATAATAATAATAATAATAATAATAATAATAATAATGTGTTAAAATTGATTATTATGTTGTGGTTTTATGTTTCCTCTACAGTCTTTAATGTTTTCCAGTTGTGGTTGAGAAATCCACCGTTAGTAGATGAATGTGGATTTAAAGTACTTTAAGGTGGTGCAGATACTTTTGTTTTCCTTGAGAAATGAAGGTGCATAGATTGATCTAATGTTTCAAAGCTTTATGACAAGTACCTGTCACAAATATATTAAGGAACATCTTTACAGTTTTGTCACTTCAGAAGCTCTCTATTATATTTCTCACTTTAACCTGGCTCTTCAAATCATTTACTCATGTACCTTGCTTTAATAATGACAATCAAAGAATCAACTAATGCAGATTCTTCTTTTAAACCACTGATCGTGCGTATGTTCAGAACACACATCTGCGAGCCGTATTTTGAAATAAGCTGCTGCAATTTTTAAGAATTTAGGAGCTGTACGGAGTTTTTATAGATGCCCATATTTTCCAAACCTCTCTGTGAGGGTTTAAGGTGAATAATTTATGACAGACTTTGCAGAGTATACAATAAAAAAGAAAGTCTTTGAAGTGCCGGAACATTGCCAACACATCATCAAGACGTCCAACCACAGCAGCAGCACTGACTGTTACGCCTCGTCGTTAAGTGGCTTACGTCTCACGGAGCAGGGATGGGAAACACTTAGAGGTCACTCCTCTCTTTTCTAAGACAAAGTGTGTGTGTTTGTGTGTGTGTCTGTGTGTGTGTGTGAAGATGAAAAAAAAAGATTGTGGATTTCAGTGTGTGGTCAGGTTTCAGAACACAGCGGTGAACTTGTCCCTGGAATAGCACAGAGTATAAAACATGTGTTGTGGTTTTTCAGCACACCCACCAGCTCACTCCTCCATCACCACCTCCAGACGTATCACATGTCCCACCACCAGTCTCCCATTGGGTTTTCAGCTGGTGTTTCTCTGCCGCCTGCTGCCTGAGACAGTGACAGATAAGAATGCATGAATTATACGAATACGTTTCTATGATTACATTTCTGGAGCCGCGGCAGGTGTTGTGACTCAGCGTCGGTTTGGGGTTTCTGCTCTTGTTGCATCCGTCTGCCTCTCAAAAGATTAATGGAGGCGCTAGAAAGAAAGAGTAGACCTTCAATGTGGCTCTCAAGTGGCCTTGTTCCCTAGGCTAGAAAACAAAGGATGGAAGATGAGATGGTTGTTCCTGGTGCCGAAATACGAGATGATGAAGGGCTTCATCGTCCTTGTATCAGATCCATAACGGGCTGGAGATAACAATGGCAAAATGACGCCTCTTTGGGCAACCTTTGAAACAGCAGCTGGCAGCTG